AAGACTCCGGAGACATCTGAACTCCTGGATAGCCTTCAATGAAACTACAGGTACCCCCCATTCCTGAAGCTCCAGGGGACCCTTTGTACTATGGGACACGTGTGTTCCCTGTGAGTGTGTTGTAGTCTGATTGCCCTGTCCTGATAAGCTTCTGGATAAAGACAGGAGGGTTTGGCAGCAAATGAACTATCTGGGCCATGAGCAGGAAGCAACCTGAACCTTAGGAAGCAGGGGTTTAGGCAGGACTGGAATCCTCACCTACCTGTCTGCCTACCAGCCTGTTTATCATGTAGAGCTCCCTCTTGGACCCATGACCCAGGAGAACCCCCAACACCCCTTCTTCAGCATCAACGTTTGGGAGAGACAATGTGAGGCCACAAGCCAAGGCCTATCTTCCTGCCAGTCAAAGGATTGAGGCCCTAGACTGAGAATAGACTTGCAGAAGGTCAGGAGTCAATGAGGACTTTGGCCATAGACAGAAGAAGAGTGGAGAGAACTAGCCCTGTTCCCTCTTCCTTTATTAGAGGGGAGAGAGGTTTGAAAACATCCCTGACTTGTTCTACTTTTTCTGCCTTTTCTTCTCCAGTGTCCCCAACAGTGAATGTAACCTGTGATGAAGTCTTGGAAGACACCATCTTCGTGACCTGTTGGGCTTGGGGCTTCTATCCCAAGAATATCTCTCTGACCTGGCTTCAGGATGGGGAACCCCTGAGCCAGGACACACAGAAGTCTGGGAGTATCCTGTCCTATGGGAATGGAACCTACCAGACCTGCGTGTCCACCAGGATTCCCCAAGGACAGGAGCAGAGGTTCAGCTGTCACGTGGGACACAATGGGAATCACATTACTGGCACTGTGTCTTGTGGTGAGCCTGGGAGTCCCAGAAGAGGTTGGTAAGAGGGGGGAAGTGACCAGGGTGGTAAGAGGGGGGAAGCCTTGAGCCCCAGTCCCAGAGTGTAACAAGCCTTCTTTCAGGCACTGCACTGCTGCTTCGGAGCCGATGGCCCACCATTGTGGCTGCTGTTGTTAGTGCTGCCTTCTACTTTTGGCTCCTTTGGTGCAAGAAGAGGAGAACAACATCAGCTACAGAGGGTCCAGGTGAGAAAAGTGGTCAGTGGCTGGAGATTGCAGAGCCTGTCTTGGCTGTAATGTCCCTGAAGCCTCCCACTGCACAGAGAGCAGTGGAGGTGACCAGACTTCTGGAATGGAGGAGGATGAAGGTCTGCGGATTTGTGAAGTGATGGGAGCCATGTCTCCAGCTATTCCCCTTAGCCCTGCCAAACCCAGGGTAGGGAATTCTCTTGAAGTTCTAGCTGCAGATCTTCTGGCTGCAGGGGCTGTGGCTTCTGCTTCTCTCTCAGGCTCCACAGGCTTGACCAGGGGTCTGTGTTGGGAATGGTGGGCTGATTAGTGTGGGCTAGATTATCATGGCCTCAGAGGGACACACATTAAAAACATCTGCAAACTGGGGGATCATAGCCTTGGGGGACCTCACAGTAAAAGCATCTGTTTTAGTCAGTTTTTCCACAGCTGTGACCCAAAGACCTGACAAGAATAATTTTAGAGGAGGAAAAGTTTATCTGGAGCTCATGGTTTCAGAGGTTTCAGCCCATAGATGGCTGACTGTGTTGCTCTGGGCCTGAGATGAGGCAGAACATAATGGAAGAAGGGTGTGGAGAAGAAAAGCAGCTTAGGACACAGCTAAAAGGAAGCAGAGAGAGCTTTCCCTTCACCAGGGACAAAAATATTCACCCCTAGGGACCCTCCTCCTCCACCCACACTCCACCTGCCCACAGTTACCACCCAGTTAATCCCTATCAGTGGATGAATGCAGTGATTATTTTAAGGCTCTTAGGAGCCAGTCATTGTACCTCTGAATGTTCTAGTATTGTTTACCACAGGATCTTTTTGGGGATCCCTCATATTTAAATCATAACAACATCTATGATCTGGGGCTGGGAGGCTTAGAAACTGGAGTGGAACCCCACGGGAGGTGATGCCTCTGGACCCTTCCTGACAATGTCCTCTCCCCAAGACACTCCAGCCATCATGAAGAAACCAGGAAAAAGACCCATGAGGCCTGGAGTGGGAGAGCCCAGCCTGCACAGCCTTGGGGAGGCCTGTGTAGAGCAGGTGTGGGGGTCTTCAGTGCAGCTGGTCATCTTCTGTCCTCTGTCCAGCTCCTCTAGTCCCTCCTCAGGAACTTTCCCCTGATTGTGTCCTCTGGGTCACCTAATATGTGCTCCCTTCTGTTCCCATCACATGGCTCCTCCTCTTGGAGTGGCTTTGCAGGTGATAGGGAGAGTAGAAAAACAGCTGTCCTTGACCATCTAGGGAGAGACACTAGCCCTCTGTGAGGCAGCTGCAGTTATTGTGTTTTTCCTGCTTCTGAGATCTTCCTTTCTAGTCCTTGGAGTCACAGTTCCTAGGGTTCAGTGTTTTGGGCATCTTGTTCTGTGCTCTGTGGGTTTCCCTTTCCACACTGAGCTATTTTCTTTTTTAGTATTTTCTTTTTTTTAGTTGTAGATGGACCCAATATCTTTATTTATTTTTATGTGGTGCTGAGGATCAAACCCAGTGCCTGACGCATGCGAGGCAAGTGCTCTACCACTGAGCTACAACGTCAGCCCCATCCTGAGCAATTTTCTTTTCTCAAGATGCTCACTGCTCTGTGAATTTGGTGTGAGGGATGGTCAGAATGATTCCTCCATAATTAAGTTGCTTGAGAGGACAGGAAAAGAAAACAGGAAGTTCAGGTTTTAGCAGGGAGCCAAGGTGATGGGTGAACAGTGACAGGGTGGAGGGTGGACAGAAGCTCAAATCTTGTTTCTGCCCTTTCTGTATGGCTGGCATGGGGGCAGTAGGTGGTTTCTTGTCCTTAACCTGATTTCCCTGTCTCTTGGCTTCTCAAGCCTGAGGAGACTGCCCCAGAGCATGGACCCAATGAAGGTGACTCCCCCAATAGGGAAATAAGCTTTCTGCTTGCTCTTTCTCTCTACCTGGGCTTCTCCAGTAGGGCAAACAGAGGGAGTATTCGTGTGTATGTGTGTGTGTGTGTGTGTGTGTGTGTGTGTGTGTGTGGTGCTGGTGTTTGAACCCAGGGCCTTGTGCATACAAGGCAAGCACTCTATCAACTGACCTATAACCCCAACCCTGGGGGAGTATTAATGTTGATTTCTTGTAGGCAAAAATGATTGCCTGGAATGTCACTAGGGCATTGCCAGGGAAAAGAGTTCAGAAGGTCAGTTTCTCATTTCTGCATATTTCTGCTTTAAATGTTGGGTCTCTATAAGGATGTTTCCAGTTTCAGCTGCATTGATATGAATAATAGTCCTCTAGTGCTCATGTTATAGAAATCACATGAGTGCCCCATGTAGGATATCTGGATTGTGGCTGTGGCAGTCCCAGAGTGCAGAGTGGGCAGACAGCCTCGGGCTAAGGGTCTCAGGAAAGCCCCTAGTCTGCATTGGAAAGAAGACCCTGTGGGCTGTGAGGACTGTGGCCTGGGTAAGTTCCTGCTAAGACTGGGGCAGGAAGACCAGGGCCACCTCAGAAAGCACTGGCTCTTGGGGAGGAGCTGAATTCCCAGAGATAGGTTTAATAGGGGGCAGAAGGTGGGAAAAGTGCAGATTGAGATCCTGGGCAGTTGCAGAGGGTCAAAGATACTTAGTCTCTTATGCACTGGCTGCTCCAGGGTCAGTTGAGCAACAGATCATGTGCCACATATGTTTTTCCATGGTAGGTGTGTCTGCTGGTGCCCCTGGGCTTCCTGGTGGGCTCTCAGTTAGAGCTACTAACTCAGGGCTGGGAGGGAGGGATGCTGAGCTGTAGTGGGGCAGGCCCTGCTGGGTGAGCACCTGCCTCTGCAGGGGAGGAGGTCTGTGAACTAAAATGAGTTGAAGTGCTGTGTGTGAGTGAGCCCCATGCCCAGACCTGGCAGGATTAGGTGCTGCCCTCTCTGTGAGGCCCCTACTCTATCATGATTGATTGGGCTTGAAAGGAGGGGGCACTGAGCTTCCCTCCCAGATTTTGTCCTCAAATACTGCAGCTCTTTCACCCTTTCCATGGTGGAAACAGAGACAGGTGATGCTGCTGATGGAGACCCAGAGGAGCCTATGAGGGCAGCAAAATGGGATGAGAGGGAGAAAAAACTCAGGGAATTTACTTTTCTCAGAGAAAGGCCCAAACAGAGTTTTGAGGAACTGAGGAGAGAGAGGTCCTGAGGGAATAAAGAACAATATTGTGCAACCAATTGAACACTGTCTGGTTCCTTCTTCCCCACAGGCCGAGAGTCTGCACATTCCTGGATCAGCAGCAGAGGGCACCAACTGACCACAGTGGACCAGGCGCAGGCCTATAATCCCAGAGACTGGGCAGACTGAGGCAGGAGGATTGCAATTTAGTGAAGTCCTAAGCAACTTGGTGAGACTACATCTCAAAACAAAAATTAAAGGACTGGGCATGTAGCTCAGTAGTAAAGTGCTCTTGGTTCACACCCTAATTAAAAAAAAAGAAGTTACCACACTGGAACCTTGAAGCTGGGATTTCTGCTTCTGCTGTCAGTTCCTGGCTCTCCTGATGCATCAGGGAGCTTAGACTCTGGTGCCCCTGGCTAGGCCTGGACTCAGCTTCCTACCCTCCTCTGACTAGCACTTTCTCCCTTGGAGCCTTAGGTTCCTCTTCTCTACCATTTGGAAGGACATATTCATCAACTGTTGGGGTTGAAGGATTTAATACAGGTGAGCTGCTTGCAGCTCTGCCATACTACATATTGTACATATAAATTATTGTGAATGAATTTTATTTGTAAGTGTCCTTGTTTGCCTCCTCCCAAGAAGACTAAAATACTGGCTTTCCTTGACTGTATAGGACCCCTCAATCCCCATCTGACTATGCATTACTTCATGTCTTTATAATTTTATACCATAAAATTTTATATATATATCTTATATGTATTTGTGTGTGTGTGTGTGTGTGTGTCTCATCTTTTTTATTTCATGTCTCTGGGAAGAGACAGTAAAGGAGTTAGGGAAAAGCACATGTTTGTCTCCATGTCTGACAGAGCATAAAAAAAAAAAAATCCACCCAATTCTCAAAGTTTTCTGTGACCAAAAGATTCACAACAAGAGAGGGCTGGAACTGAGGGGCAGGCCCACCTGGGGCCAATATTCAGAGCTGACTCTGTGGTTTCTTCTGCCTTGAAGAGCTGGAGCCCTCATGTGATGACTCAGAGTTGGAGGGTGTTTGGTTCTTAAAAATTCATGGTTGGTGGTCAAAGACCTGGCTACATGGTATAGAAAAATTACAGTGGAAACGAGCTTATTAAAGCATTGCCCCCAGGGACCTAGTTCCATTGAAAGCACTATTGTGCCCTGATGTGTGCAATAGAACAGGACAATGATCACAAGAACTCCCTTCCAGGTTTGTATGGTGTTGTGGTTTAGATATGAGGTGTCCTCCAAAGAGGTGAGATAGTGCAAGAAAGTTTAGAGGTTCAACAATTTGGTTATGAGAACCTCAACCTTAATCTAATCAGTGTGTTACTGTACAGATAGGGATTAAATGAGTGGTAACTGTAGGCAAGTAGAGTGTGGGTGGAGGACATATGTCACTGGGAGCATGCCTTTGGGGTTTATATTTTGTCTCTCCTGAGTGAAACATTCTGTTTCCTGTTGCCAAGTCCTGAAGTCCTTTCCTCTGCCAGGATATTCTACCTCACCCTAGAGCCAGAGCTGCAGCATTAGCCGAACAAGGACTTAATCTCTGAAACTCTGAGCCAAAGATAAACTTTTCCTCTTCTAAGTTGTTCTCATCAGGTCTGTTGGTCACAGCAGCAAAAAATCTGACTAAAACGTAAGGTAAGCTGGGTGTGGTGCAGCTCACCTGTAATCCCAGTGGCTTGGGATGCTGAGGTAGGAGGGTCACAAGTTCATGAGGGCCTCAGCAACTTCATGAGGCCCTAAGCAACTCAATGAGACCCTGTCTCTAAACAAAGTATAAAAAAGTTCTGGGATGTGACTTGGTGGTTAAGTACCCCTGGGTTCAATCCCTGATACAAAAAAAGGTGATTGGAATCAATGAGTGGTTACCCTGGTGATCTTACTTGAGACAGCCAACTGAGTCCCTGACATAAGTAAACATTAGTAGGTACTGAAATGAAGAGATGGACTGCATCTAGGAATTTTTGCACGCAACCTCTTGGCACAAAATAATAACTGTTCTATTGGCTAAGAAAATAGAGACAGATGATAGATGTCTATGTAACAGATTTTCTGGGATAAAAACATAACTGAAAAATTTAAAAGGATATTGGCAGCCCTAGTGTAGGGGGCTTTGCTTACCCAGCAGGAGATGCAAATGCTCAGAGTGCTTCAGAAGAACCAGAGCAAAAGACGCTGCACCAAGTTGGACACGGAGTCATGTTTCTTCAACCAAGAGACACATTATCCAGTTCATATTGACCAAGGATGAGCAGAAACCTATGCCCACCACAGGAATAGTTGGATAGGGGATTGCCACAGACAATAACACATTCCTTGTGTAAAAGGGGGTGGGGGTGATACATAGGCATGGAGGGTATCTCACATGCCATATGAATGGGATGAAAAGAGTGTCCCCACTAGAGAATGTGCTCTCTGTTCCTGGTGGCTCTGAAGAAGAGGAGTGGGGGGGATGCTGGTGTTACTATGCAATTGTTCCAGAGACGGGAGACACTGGTGTGATGACCACTTCACATCAGCTTTCTTTTTTCCTATCTGATCCTACACAAGAGAGTGTAAATATTAATATATTTCTCAGTGTTGGAGATTGAACTCAGTTTGTGTATGCTAGGCAAGCACTCTGTCTCTGAGCTACACACCAGTCCCTGTAAACCTATTTTAAAACATTTGTGTGAGAATTTCTAAGAGCTTGAGGGAGTGTGCTGTGCCTTTACCCTGTCTGGCTAATTTTTTTTTTTTTTT